TTCGATTTTGGTTTGGTTTGGTTCGGTTATTAACCATACATAAAAATAAAATAAACAATTCATTCAAAACGTGAAAAAAGTGACAACATTAATCCATTCAAACAAAAAAATAGTTAGAATGACTAGCATTACAGAACTTTCGATCATTGAATTTACTGAATAAAACTTCAAAATTCACTATTTTGGCATAGAAGGAAGAGACAATGACATTTTTAGTCCCACAAAGAATTTTCATAGACACTCATATACATGAAACCAATAAGAAAAATGTTCTCACCTTGGACATTTTTTCTTTAATAAGTAAATTATAAAAATAAATTTTGATGAAACATATATAAAATCTTTAAAATTGTTTATGAATATAATATATTATGTATGTATAATAATAAAATTTATGTATATAACTTGTTGGTTCGGTTCGGTTATTTCTTCGATTTTTTTCGAACAAAATCATAACCAAACCAAATACTATCGGTTCTTAACAATCTAAAACCAAACCAAACCAAAACCAAATTAAATCGGTTCATTTAATCACTTTGGTTTGATTTTTTGGTTTGGATCGGTTTTTATCCAAACCATGAACACCCCTATGTATATATATGTATATGAAAAAATATGTGTATTTATTTAATCTGTATAAATACTGAATTTTCATGGTTGACACCCATAAAGGTTAATTAGGATGCAAAATAGTAATTAAAATCTAGCTCATTGAATGATGATTTTTTCCTTTTATAGAACTATCATGTCACACTATAGTACATTATATGAAATTGACGATCAAAATATAAGTTTGAGATTTACCGCGTTTGCAGTTATTCAAAACATATGATTGGCTCTAATATCATTCGACTCAAAACGGACAATGTCATTAACAATAATTATAAAGTAGATCTCACACAGTTGAACTCTACATCCATAAGGTTGAGATAGAATTGACTCTAATAGCATTCGTAACGATCCAGAATAGACAATATCACTAGTAAGCTGGACAGTTACATCGTAATAATATAATTCAAAATTAGAAGAGATCTTACATCTCTTGCTTAATGCATTTTTACCAAGCTTGGCTAGTTAAAGCAAATAACTAAAAAATTCAATATCAATGGTTCAAATCCACTTCTACACGGGCCAGGTTCGAACTATAGTCTAGCCAAATTGAAAAATGAAAGTGCAAAAAAAATGTGAACGTTCATGTACTAGACGAACGATTTTTTGATAGTAGAATTAAAGTTATAACTTTCTTGAGACATATCGATTACGATCATCAAAGAGATTTACCTAATAAATCCAAATAAATTTTCACTTTTCTTTCCTTTTTCTCACAAATTACATAGTCCATTAAATACAAGTTTGTCATAAATGCTAGTGAACAAGACCACATTGGAATAACTTGTTCTTCAATCATTTTTTTCCTTTCTTGGGGAAAGTACTTTTTATATTTTTGGTCTCGTAATGTCTTGAATCTCTTAATAGTTCATTGAATTAAGATGTTAGATTTTTTAACTTAGTTGTGAAGCCATTTCTAGATTTCATGTTCAAAGGACAAGTTTTCACAGGTCCTTTTAATTAATAATATGTCTCAATCCAAAGAACCTAAATAAACTCTCAAGTTAGATTCAATTTAATTTCCCAAGAACATTTTGTCCCACAACTAATAAATAAATAATAAGTTGGGATAATATCATTTTTTGTCCTCAAATTATAGGTATATTCAGATTTTGGTTCTTGAGATATATATCAGATAAAGCATATGTTATAACCTTTAATTAATCGAAATGTGTTTTTAGTCTGTTTATGTAAGAAGTATAAACTAACAGTAAAAGTTTAACATAACAATGAATAATTAAGTGGTGGAATGACTAATAATTATGGTGAATTATTTGTGAATATTCACAAGCAACATTGTAAAAAATTGCACATTTTAATTATTGAAGGTTAAATGTGTTTAGTCAGATTTTTGAGTTTGGTCATTATGATATCTTATGAAGTACGTTTAACCTTTAACTAATCGATGTACGTTTTAGTCCTATTAGGTAAGAAAGAATTATATTACCGTTAAATATGGAGTAACAATATAAATTTAACATAGCATGGTAATTAATTAATTGGTGAAACGGCTACTAATTATGGTATATTTAATTATTTATGAATATTCAAAGGAACCAAAGTACACATTTCAAGTAGTTAAATGTCAAAATGTTTTAGTCAAACATCAAAATTAGAATTTATTAAAAATTGAAGGACCAAAAGTGTTATTAACCAAAAAAGTTAATAAAAAAATTCTTATAAAAATATTATTCAGTTGTGTGATTGTACTGTAAAATTATATAATTTTAATGCAGCTAACTCCATAACTGTAATAACTGAAAACCCATTAAAATATTTGATATATTTATATCATGTGATAAGTCAAATTAATTAAATGTCCGTAAAATAAGATATTAAGGGAATCAATTAGAAAACATGGAAATTCATGTGATTACACATGACCCTCAGAAGATCAGTTAATCTTTTAGACCATTGCTTAAATTAAATTAAATTAATTAGTCAATGGCTTTCTTAACAAAATTTAACATGGCATTTGCAGCTAAAGTTAAATTAATCAAGATTAATAATTGTGACAAATATTATCCCATTTGGAATTAATTAATTTTGATTTTTTAATGTTATGTGATGGTTGAATTTGAGTTGAGGGTCTTTCAGTCACTCTACCTTTGTAAAATAGGTCGTAGGAATAAAGTATGCATACATTCTACAATCATTAGATCTCACCTACGGAATTCTACTGGATATATTGTTATTATTTAAACGGTTGAATTTCATTTTTGTATTCACCATTCATGCTTTATAATTAGATTTTGTTGAATTTTGAGGTATATTAGAAGTTTGAAGAAGTTAATCATGTATAATTGACATGCTCAGTTGGGAATTATTGAAAGTTATATGATGAAAAATGATTTGAAATGTATTAAACATTCATATTCATCATTATTAGACAAACAAATCTCATAATGAAATCCCAAGCCATTTTAGGACCACATAATTACACAACAAAATCATAAAAAATTAAGTTAAGTACTGTGTTAATTAATACGATAATTAATTCATAGATGATGATCATGCATTAATCATACTAAATGATGTTTTATCAGAGAATATTCTTAATAGGTGTTTAGATATACATAGAGGGTCCAATTAATTTTATTGTGTTTCGACTTTCTCTCTAAAATTCTAGATCAACCTTTATGTAGAGCATATTTCCCTTCTGAGAGTGTATAACCTTAGAGAATTGAAAAAAAAATCATTGTATTTTACGAGAATTTAGGCATGTCCCATTTCCGACAATGAAATTATTTGAATCGAAATATTTTCAAATACAAATAAACAAAGAACGGAAGATTCACAAGTAATGACAATGAAATGAGTGGTCTTGAATTTTTTTACCCTGTTTGTCTTATGTCAATGTCTACACTTTTGACTTCCGATCTTGAAGGTTTGCTCATAGGAAAAGTGTGTCAAAAATTCAAGACTATCCATTTTTAACGTCATCGTTGGGTGTAATATCTTACCAATTACAAATGAAGTGTTGTTTTATTGGGCTTATGTTTGGTTTGTGTTCAATCCAATAGCAACAAAAATGAAGCCCAATCTCATTCACTGAGCCCAATCCCAAGTAGTCTTCTCAAATGTAAGCCCATTTATTTTATCTTTTAATGGGATAATAATTACAGTTCAATGTCTTTTAGGCGATCTAATTTACAGAATAGCCAGAAAAAATGTATAGATTGTGTATATACAAGTATAATATACATATGTTATACATATAATATACATTATCAATGCATAGATTTTGTATATTTCGACCATATTTGGCCAAATTGTATAGATCAGCATAGGCGTACGCAGGAGGGGGTCACCGGGTTCACGTGAACCCATGCTCCCCTCCCGAAATCATATATAGTCGTGTTATATTTTTAATTTTTTGTTAAATATAGATGTGTAAACCCACACTCGAAGTATCATATAATGCAACGATGATTGGGTGCACCTCTTAGTGAGGTTAGAAATTTGAATTTTATATCTATCTTGTTTTATTTTTCTTTCTAAAATTGGGTAACACCTCTCTAAGTGGTTATTGATAGCACTATTGGTGTTTACATTAATTAAGCATTTCAATTTTGGACCTATGATATTTTAAATTTTTAACTATTTTCAATGATAAGAACATAAATGTCAAACCAATTAGATCCACCTTTTCATCACCTTGAAATCGTGGATACGCCTCTGTTTGGCGAGTCTCCCTCTTTTGGGGTAAAACGAATTTCATATAGAAGCTTTACTATATAGCCTCTACTAGGTGTCCATAGACTTAAAAAAGATAACTTTCAAGAAAATCTCTCAATACTGGTTAGTATTGCAGCTCTTGCAACAATTCAGAACAAAAACTAATACAATGGAAAGGAGGGAATAGTAAATGGTCACTTAAAAAGGCACATACATCGCGTACTCGTGTAACAACAACAACATACTCAGTGTAATTCTACAAGTGGAGTCTGGGACTCGTGTATCAATCAAATGATAATTTTGAATGAAAAAAAAAGAGAGAAAAGGGACACCTTTAAGCTCAGGGGGCACTGAATTGGCCATTTTTGCTCTTACAATAATATTGTACTCCAATTAGTTCTTGTTACAAAGAATCTAGCTAATGACAACTCTAAAATGAATGACAAAAGACTAAATGGAACAAGCTCTAAGTTGGAAAATTTCCTCCCTTTTGCCCCCCTTTTCTCCTATCTAAACTAGACCTACAATTTTACAAGAAGACTACAATTGAGCAACTTTACAAGGGGCATTGGATGTTACAGTATAACGAGAAGACGTGTCTGGAAGGAAAATGAATAGGTTGATGGATGTACAATAGTTGGTATTCATGGCGTGGAGACTTGGACGACGTCTTTCCAACAAAACATGCATTTCATGCTAGAGAAACCTCAGCCTTATTCGCGTAAAAATTGGAAGGCTGCATTTTCAAGCAGTTCATTTGCAGGTTTTACACCGGTAAAATCAACGTCCTTGAGGGAACTGTTAATCTCCTCAACAGAGATTGGAATGCTGCATTGGTAGCAAATAGATGAATGATTGAACATGATCTATTGTCATTTTGACCTATGTTGCTCGGACTCTCAATAAATGCAGATCCTCCGAAAATGCACTACTTTGGAGGATACAACATGCACTTGTTGGTATTTTTGAAGAGTCCGAGCAACATAGATTTTGATAGCAAATGAGATTAATGAAGTACCTGGAATTATCATCCAATATAAAGTTGTTATCTGCATCATTTGCATTATCAGCATCCTTTGCGTCTTCTATTTCTTGATCCTTAAAACTGGAAATGACCTGTTCCGAGCAGTATGGTTTAGGATCCGAATGCAGAAAAGTTCAGTTAAAATTTGCCATTGAGAGAGAGAGAGAGAGAATCATTAAAGCTAAGGTTTAGCGTCCCCGAAAGAAGAAAATAATCAGAAAAACAAACAGTTGGAGGATGTAAGCCAATGTCTTATATTGATATACATTAGTTGACTAGCAGATCGTCTCGAAGGAGCATTTCTTAAACACATAATCAATAGAAGACATTGAGTGAAATAAAATAAAAGAAAGGAGGACTTACCTCTGGGGATACACCTTGAGTATTAAAATCTTCATCCCAGTAAAGTGTACATATCCGATACAACTGTTGACTACTCAGAATCTGAAAAGATGATCCCAACAAAAAAAGACGCTAAGTGACAGATGCACAAATGTGACAACATAAATGCCAAGGACTCGTATCGTAGCATGAAAATTAACTTCAATATCTTAACACCATACATAATTCATTTAAGTCCCTATCGATCTATATACACTTCATAAAATTCTCCAATAGGATTCTTTGTTTTAGCACTCAAATAACTAACAAAGGAACACGATTTCCAGAAGTGGCAGCCTGGAACCGCCATGTATTATCAATATTTGTATCTCTAAATTAAGTACAACTAAGAAGACTATGAAGATGAACTTACGGGACAGAGATCAGTTGTTAGATCTTCAGATGTAAGTCTTGACTTCTGATTAATAACCTGTAAAGGAGCTATTTAGATAGGGAAAAATATACGGAAGAGATTAGGTGATAGATAATCTCAAAATGGGAGTTAAATATCCATATATGTGGTGTCACTTGCAAGTAACAGAAAGAGTTTCCGTAAAATCATACTTAAATGTAAGAAGAGCATTATTAGCCTATGAAGCAGAGTGACATTTATCAAAAAAAAAAAAAAGGTTCATCTTGATTGATTAACTTTGTTCATTCAAAGAGGAGAAACATACCAAAAATCCAACTGCCTGCCTTGCATGCTTTAATTCATCCAACGAAGAACCAACGTACTGTGAAGGAAAAGTTAAATATATGTAAATACAGTTCATGATATATTAATCTAGGAACAATATACCCTTACAGTACTAATGATAGAGTACCTCTTCTTTCATATTGCCGCACCAAAGTTCTATTTCTTGCAATCCAGCTTTTACATACTCCCCGTTGCTGAATGTACAACACTCTCTTTGAAGGAGAAGGCTGCAATGATGATTAAATAGAATGGTAAGTGGAGTATCTATGACTTTCTGTCTAATCTTCCTACTATGAGATACAAAAAGAATGTACCTATTGAACAGCTGAACATTTATGTAAGAGAATATCTGGTTCAGAATTCTCTGGACGAAAACTGGATGAACCTGCAAAATATTCATAAGTCCACTCATCAGTTTATGGTAATATTAGCACATCACACTGTTTCCTACAATGAAACTTACATAATTTTCTTTCAGTATACTGAGAAGCCCATTTAGGCTCTCAATTACGCCATCCCACGGAGTGGGTGGAGAAGAACCATCAACGGACTTCCGTGGTGATTGCAAGGAGGCGCCTTTTGATGCTTGAGATGCCTAATTAAGATGCGAAGTGCAGGTATAATTAGAAGTTTGAATATGTGAAGTACAAAGACCATAACCCGAAGAACTTTTGAGTCAAAATACAATTAAGTTACAAGCACAACAGCTTATCACAATTTTGAGATCCAACAAATTTTTTTTGAAAGGGCCATGAAATCAAGATAAACCAGAATCCTAATCAAAGCAACAGTGAATATGGTGCAGTGAGTTATTAAATGATACAGAGGCCCAGTGAGTCCTTGTGAGCTAGGGAGAAGTGTTATTTGACAAGAGGACTTACTTGGGAGATATTTTCTAATTAACAAGCATCAAATGATGTTATTCATATTGTTCAGAATACATACATATATGTACACAACACACACACACACATATATAAAACATCGTCATAGAACTTCTAGAAAACATGGCGATTTACCTGGATACATGAAGTCAACAGTGAAAACAGGTCCCTTTTCCAGTTATCTCGAACAATTCCATAAATCTTTTCGACATAAGCACTGAGCTGTAGCTTAAAAAGTAAAGCTGGCTGCTTTGCCTCAACCTGACGTACAGTGTCGAGACCACCAATTGCAAGGTTGACAGATGAAGACCGGAAACTCTAGAAAAATAAGTACAATCATTTTATCAATAAATTTTCTAGAGAAATATGCTGGAATTCTGTTTTAAGTAACCTGTATATACCTCATTCTAGGCTACTAGTATGTTTTATACAGAGAGATTTACTAATGCCCAACCAATGCAACTGTTAACAAATAACAGTTACATGGTCTGTTTTGGAAATTCGCAGGATACGAGTAGACAAACTACTAGAAAGTTAGGACACAGGAGGCCACCTAATAAGTAAGTCAATGGTGAAATAAATGCGGGATTGTATCTTACATAGTGCATCACACCTATATATAAGTGTATATTGTATATCATATTAATCAAGCTAGAATCAATATGACTAGTTCTCCTTATTCCTTCCTCATCATTCGAATCTTCATCACTCTATCAGATCCAATTCAATCTGTATGAGAATTTGTAAGTTATTTCCGCTTACTGGTGCGGTGTTGCATATAATTCACTTCCTCTTCATCACAGATATTAAGCATGGTACCATTTTCAGATCAGCGCACAGAATATATATACAATTAGTTCATGAACTATAGAAAATCATCCCTCCTAACTGCTATCAACTCCGCCTTCTGAAATCTTCTGATTGTCTGAAATCGGTTCGGTAAGGGCTCTCAAAGGTTTATAAGGGTCTTGGACTACTCCACTCATGGCCTTGAGGTTTTAGGTTGGAAGCTCATCTTTTTTGACATGGTATCAGAGTCAACCTTTGACAAGCCTATTTGCCATTGGTAAGTCAGAAGTAAAGATCATGTGTGAACTCCAAATATTGGGTTAAATGTGCAAGAGGATGTTGATTTGTTTGTTGTCCCACATAGGTTATGTAAGGACTTCCAAAGGGATTTATATAAAGGTCTTGGGACACTCCTCCATAGTTTATCTTGCTTGTATGGTGAATGATTTGGACTGATTTGTATCTCGATCTGTTAGCCATATGTTTCACTCTGTCATCTTATTTGATTTATATGCTTCTTTAATATTATGTGAATCTCTTTTTGCTACCGTTATATTTTTAACTGCTTTGGTGTTGCTATTTTGTTGTCATATTATTCTTGCAATTATGTTCCGATAATTGTTCTTCTAAGCTGAGGGTCAATCGGAAACAACCTCTCTACCTCAAAAAGGTAGGGGTAAGGTCAGAGTACATTCTGCCCTCCCCAGACCCCACTTGTGGGATTACACTGGGTATGTTGTTGGCGTAGTTTCCATCTGCTCCAGCTTCACTTCCTCCTCTTCCTTTGCATCAGTTTCTTTTTGTTTTGAAGATATCTAAAGTTCACTTATGAAATATGCTTTGTTCCCACAAAAAAATGATATTTTCTTTCAATTCGAATCATCCAAAATATACATAAAGGAACTAAGTTCCAAACTTTGTCTCTGCTTGTTCCGCAATCTATCTTTAACAACTACTAAGAGCATGCTTCAGCCTTCCATCACCCACTAGACCGACAAGAATCTTAGGGGTCGTTTGGTTGGGAACTAGTTATCCAGGATTAATTATCCTGGGGTTAGTTATCCTGGGATAACTTATCCCACCCTGTATATGGGATAACTTATCCCATCACTATGGTATAAATGGTGAGATAAGTTATCCCAAACATGTCAACCAAACAAGACATCAAACTTTCATCCCAGGACTATATATTCTTATCCCTCACACCAAACGACCAAACGACCCCTTACAGTATTACTTTGCAACCTCAAGTGGTTTCGCCATTATGCGTTTGATGGGCGCGTTCGGTCGTCAAGGACTGGTTCCAACTTAATACATAAGTTAGCAGTGCAATAAATGCACCATTGTATTTTGTATATTGTGTTCCTAGTTTGTTTTTACTTATGAAACAGTTTATGACACATACCAATACAGTTATTTCTCTCTATTTTCTATTTTCCCCCTCAGATCTTCAACATCAATAGTAGCATCAGAGACATGTCCAATTTTGTTAAGCAAAGTAACAGGGAACTCAAATACTAACTGCAGAAGCTTTCTATAGAAGTGCTTTCAAATACACAAAGTAATAGTGCAAAATATATAGCCAACAGAAACTTTAATTCAATAGTTTTAGGAGCACATTTAATAATAGAGATGAAGAAAGAATCGAAATACCTGTGCCATTCTACCAAAAAATGATGTTGGTTGGGGCGGTCTACTTGGAGCTGAATCAGTAGTTTTCAGTGTATGCTGAAGTAAAAACAACAAAGTTGCACTGTTGGACAGCCAATAAGCCATGTGATTATTGTTTGTCTCATCCTGAAAATTGATATAAAATGAGCATGTGTGTTTATCATTGAGTTAGAGAGGCAGCATTTTTGACATAGCAGTGCAATACAGGCTAATGTGTATTACACTGATGTTATGACTCGTGAACTCCTACGAACAATACAACATGATCGCTGGTTTCGACATGATATTGAAAGTTACCTCTATCGCAGAACCAATCATCTGAATAAGACGATCGAACACGTTAGTTTTTTCTGCTTCAAAGGAATTCCAATTAAGTAGGCATTTGTATATGGTAAATGCTGCCACTGGTTTCCCTTCACTGAACCCTAGATCTTGACTGACACATTTGATAAGAATATCCACACTCTCCTGCAACATAATGTTAAAGAAGATATTAGAATTAGTAGCCACGGAATCACCACATTCATACACAATAAAGTGGAGGAATATTTCCTGTGCTGATGTATTATGCCTCTGTGAATAAAACTTCTCAAAAACTAGTAGCACAAAATTAGAAAAATAACTATGTTTTTTGTGTTCATGCAGAACAGTATATGCACGAGTTCATCTTTAAGCATTGCATAGACACATAAAATCATTTTACTCAGTTCCCAAGGATTAGCTCACTTGGAAAAGGTACAGGGATGAGGCTTGGATCACAAGTTCAAGCCTGACGCCAAGATAACTAAGCCTAATATTCAAGTTGAGAAGGGTAGAGGGGAAGGCCTATTATCCCTGAGTTCCCAAGGTAGCGGCTGGTCCTAAAGGTTGGCTACAGCTGGATTTCTCGGTATCAAAAAAGTAATTAAAAAAGCATTCTACCCAGGGTTTAGGACTAAAAGGGAACTCCAGTGATAAACATATGCAGCTATGTACTTTCGATACTATCTTCTGCAGTAGATTTTCTCTTTTTTATAGGTATAACATAACTTTTGAGAGAAAAAAAAGTTGCAAGGAAGGTAGTTTTCAAGATGCATCAAGAGAAGTTCGGAGTGTGTCAACACTCTTTATTTGTTCCTTTCTTTAGCTGCCATTATGTATTGATTATTTTTAACAAAGAAATAGCCAGTGAACAAGGAAGTACAAGGGATAATACAGGAATGAGGGTGAAGATAAGGAAGAAGAAATATAAAATTGGAAGGATTTGAACGCCCATCCCCCACCAGAGAAGGAAAAAGGTAAGCTGTATCAACCTCTTAGCGACATCAGAGAAAAGAAATTCAATCAGTCCTATATTTTCCCCACTGCTCATTAAATCAAAGATAATGTTTAATCCTGGTTTTTCTTTTGGGAAGATTTTGACTAAGCCATCAACTCGGTATCTGTGAATCTCACTCATACAATAGAGCTCAAACCGCAAGCCTTTTAAAATAAATGTTTTTGTGGCATAGCATGTTTTAGGAACTCCAATTTTTGGATATCTTGTTCCATATATTCTCAAAAAGTACTAAATCAGAGAAAGATGGCAAACAGAAGGAAATCTGATTGAAAAATATTTGATCACTTCCTGGGTACATACCCGCTGCCTATCAGCCATGGATCTCCTCATAGACTCTGTACCAAACCATTTTGTTGCTCCAGCATTGGATCTCCTCATTGAATCTGTACCAAACCTTCTTGATGGTACTGCAGCCAGTGGTTCCTGAAAACGGTCATCATGTCAGAACAGACATTATGCAAAGCACCAACATGACTGTTACTCCCTTCATCCCAGTTTATGTGACTGTAATCTAGTGCACACAGTATTTAAGATGTTAATTTAACTTATATGTTATACTAGTGATAGTGTAAGAAAACATTAGAATATTAGTTGAAATGTTAGTTCGATAGAGAAAACATCATCTCAATATTTAAAACTTGAACACTATGAATTTGAATTCTTGAAAGTAGTGAAAGTTGTCCAGAAATGGAATGGTGTCAAACGTTTTGGGATATTCTAAAATGACAAGAGTATCATACAAGTTGAGACAGAGGAAGTATATAATAAAGCACTAAAGGTGAATCCTTCACTTACATGATGACCGTTTTCAGAAGGCTGCAGGAGGAAAACAGAAAAAAGTAAAAAAAAAAAAAAGTGAGGAAATGTACAAGAAAGCTATGAATTTTTTTTTGGCATTTCTATGGTATCAGAGGCAGAGTTTTTACTGCAAAACGACTTGAAGTTCTTCCAGTTGGTAAATTTAGCGCTTGCTGTCGAAGAATCTGCTGGTCTTCTATATCGGAAAGTTTCTCTTCAAGCCTGAGATACAAATGTTAAGTTAAACAAGATATTCAAACTAACTTATTTCACATGATAAAGAATCCTGTATTTTAACTTGTACAAATATTATGGATTCTGTTCAAATTTTGCTCTAACAAGAAGAGAAGCTATAAAAGATATATTGGAGAACATACAGAAGCAATATACATGGATCCTTCATCTGCTTTAGTCGAACAGATTTGACTAGGTTAAACTACAATTTAAATTTTTACCCAGAAAGTTCAATTTTCATAAAAGCTAAAAAGCCTCTAGAACACTGGCTGAGTTGATATTCATGAACCCCAAGTAAACCAGCTGTGGTATTCAATGCAAGTCATAGGCAATCTATGACTTGGTTCTTCGTTAATGTCTGTAGTTACCAATTTGAACTTAACAACTGCTTGATATAACAAGCATTTTTCAAGCTTGATCCACATGTTGGGACATAGGTATGGGTATGACGATAAAATACTGATTGAATTCCAGCTTAAGACTAACAGCTACCATATTTAAATGACATACCAAACCATATTTTGAAAAGAACAAATAAGATAAGAGGCCAGAGCTGTTGAAGAAACCAAGCCATATATGTAAAACTTTTTAACCTTTGCATGTTAAGCTTCAACTCAATTATCTTAGCCTCTGCATCCAGAGCTTGCTTCAATCGCTCCTCACTTATTTTGCTTGTTTCCTCATATTTTTTCTCTGTTTCATCAATCTTCTTTTCCAATGAGTTAACAAGAACCTGCAACATATATAATAAGCATGTTAAAAGCTAGTTCAATGACTGAATTATGATAATCACACATTGGAGACTGCAATCCTGGATTTATAATCCTATGAAAGAAAAAAGTGAGCAAGATATAAAAATTAGAAGCAGCAAGAAAACTGGTCCCGACAACAATTTCATCTGGTATTTATTGAAATTCAAGAAGAGCACCTATTAAGTAGTACATCACAATGTAAATCTAACATCTTCACCTTGAGCTGCTCATTTTCAGCGGTAATCTTGCCCGATACCTCCTGATCTGCAACCTGGGACTCTACTTCTTCCAACAACTTTGTGGCAGCCTCAGGATCCTTCATTAGCAGCTCTTTCGAACTGTGGTTCTCTCAATCAGTAACGAATGAAAAAGATGGGAACATAAGGATCTAATTGGTGCGAAATTCAACTGCAGAACTAACTTGGAACTGTATTGACGATAAAATACCAACAATTGCAAAAGTTATGAGAGAATCTGGATTCAGCGGAGATCAAAATGCAATTTTGGGTCAACTACAGATTAGATTCAATTCAGAGGAAGCTGAGGTGGATTGAAACAATTGAACCACGAATCTGCTAGGAGGTGTATGCAGTTATTTTTAGTAGGTATTATGTATTAAAAATATTAAAACTTAGACCATTCAACTCCACAACTTATTTGGGACTGAGGACCATTCAACTATGCGGAACGAAGGATGATATCATAATTGACTTTATGCTTTAGAGAAACTATGATGGATTATCCCAGATTAATACTAAACCATATAAAGGTAGAACAAGTAAAGAAAGACTGTTTCAAACAAAGAAACTGACATGAGTAAAATTTCATTACCTTTGCATGGCATCCTTCAACTGACTTATCTTAGACTCGGCCTCCAGAACTTGCTTCAGTCGCTCATTACTTACTCTGACTGTCTCCTCATATTTTTTCTCTTTTTCATCAATTTCCTTTTCCAATGAGTTAACAAGAACCTGCAACGAATTTGACAAGATATTAAAACCCAGTTCGACAACTGAATTATGAAAATTATGCATCAGAAGCTGTAATGGATATAATCTTGAGTGAGAAAACAGTGGATAAAAGAACAAATTTGAAACAACAGAAAAACTTTCCCTGTCAGGATTACTTCATGTACTTCTTGAACTTCAAATAAAGTATCCAATATTCTCACATTCTAACCTTAAGCTGCTCAGTTTCAGCTGTAAGCTTGTTGACCTGAACCTGATCTATAACCTGGACCTCTTGTACAACAGATCCATGTTCCACGATCTTTGTGGAAGTCGCACGTTCCTCCGTGACCACCCCCTGATCTATAACCTGGGCCTCTTGTATAACGGATCCTTGCTCCACGACCTTTGTTCCAGCCTCACGTTCCTTCTTGAGCAGCTCTTTAGTTTCTTGAAGCTGAAGCCTCATCTCTTCCAATGCAGACTGTAATTTCATTGTTTCCTGGGTTTTAGCTTCCTCAAGCTTGTCCTATATAATATAGTTTCTGTCAGTTACTGGTATAGAAACAAGTTGCTAATACAAAATAGAATCACATTACGTTTTCTGTTCATTTTCAATGTTTGTTTTGCCTTGGTCCAACTCCAAAGTTCAACAATAACAACTTCATAGTGAAATTAATTTTCATCAACAATTCAATCATGTATGCATCATAAGCAAAAACATGTATATGATTTCTTTTGATTCAGAAGTTGAGCACTAAGATAGGCAATCACCAGTTCACTAAAATATTCTGTTTCAACAAACAAATTTTTGCAGAGTTTCTGAGTCCTAAACATATAAATCATAACCGAAGCATTTTCAGAAAAAGGTTAGACATCATTGTTAGCTATAGAGGAGAACAAAATTATGCCATATATATGATGGGGTACTGGAAAAGATGCACAATGAAAAGTCTACCATTGTGCTTAAACATTGTAGCTCATCATGTTGGAAATATCATGCATCATAGTTTAACATTTGGTCGCAAACAGAAGCCTGCATATCATGATTAAACACTAAGCACCTTACACCATTTCAACCAGCAACGCCTACAATTTCTGAAATTGTTGACACAAAGCAACTGTCAACAATTTTTCCTCATAATAAACTAGCATCTCTTTATCATTTCCATATTTGGTTATCGCATTGCAAAAATAATTCATTCAAAGAATAAAAGTAATTCACCATTGTCTAGGCATTTCTAAATTGGTCATTCTCTTCAGAAAATCTTTTGCGCAAGAATCATTCAACAAAGTTAATTGATATATACTTGTAGAAATGCATATCCCATCCAGGTTCTTAAGTTCCATTAGATACTGTGCATTCTTAAATGCTATGAGCTTTCTTCTTTTCAGAAAAGTGATCCTTCAGGTACATCATTTCAAGGAGTATTTTATTTCTGAGTGAGAATCTGGGAGTGAACCATTAGTTCCTCAGAAGTTTCTAGTGTGTTTTTGCCTTTGATAGGCCTAAGTGATTAAAGCTGCAGTAAATGGAATCTATTTTCAGTTCCTTAAGATTAGGAATACAATTGGATATATGTCTCAATTATCAAGTGTAGGACCTGTAACTCACGGTGATGTGCAGAAAAGATGGGCCTGAACTCATTTTCTTTAAACTGAATGGAAGGGATGACATTATAGATAATGAACCTTTTAGAACCTAATTACCAAATATAATACTGGTAGTAATCTTGAAAGTTAAAAGAAACTTATTTACCCTCATGCGCTTCTCCACCTGTAGTCTCTGTGTCAGCTCTTCAACTTCCTTTTCCAGCTTGCTTTTGGCATCTTGGAGAGCTCCAGTTTCTTTAGCTGCCTGAATCAGAAAAGAAAATCAAGACATTTAACGTATTTATTAAGGTTTTGAACTCCAACACGTGAAATACCAATCCCAACAATGGCAGATATAGATTTGCAAGTTCAATATGGGGAAATCTCATGTACTATCCGTGAATTTCGTCAAAGACTCTTAAATCAATTTAAAGGAGGAAAATGACTGAAGAGAGATTTTTTGCAAGATAACAGTTGAATATATAAATTGGCAACCTCCATTCAGTAATTCAAGTACAAGACATGCATATTCATTTATTTAACTTCGACACATTCATGATCTTTTCATTGAATGATTCGGAACTAGTTGTTATTCTGTCATAACTTCATACTGGGAGAATAATGATAAATACAAGTTACACAGATCAAGGGGCATAACAAACTAGCATGTCATTCAAAAAACTTTGTGACCAATAAAGGCCAGCAGAAAGAGAAGTTCTTACCATCTTTAGCTTCCGTAGTTCTTTACGGGCGAATTTAGCTCTCCAGGCACATTGTAACACAACTGCTGCTTTCTTCATCCTCCTATAATGCCGCCGTTTCACACATCTCCGCCAATCACTCTATAATCAATATAATCAAGGTAAGAAAAATTACAGCAAAGCTAAGTGTCAGTCAAAACATGTAAAATGGATTAGTTACTTGAATTCTAATTATCATAATGCTGAACCAGATCAGGATAAAAAACTGGCACTAAAATGGTATGTAAAAATTCAGAAAAGACAGTACAAAGTCCCTCTATTACCTGGATAAAGATAGCTGCTTTTTTTCGCTTTCTGAATTGAAGCTCATTTCGAGAAGCCATGCCCCGCAGTCCTGCTTGAATGGAAACAGCTGAAACACACAGCAATCCATAAGATCTCCTTGCAATGTACTTGCGTGCATCTTTTTGGATCCTCAGACAGGCAGCTTCCCTCCTCATGCACTCATAGAGAGCCCGTTCGGTCTGGCCTGCATAGGCATCATGAAACAGTTGCAACATTTTTTTATTGCATAAGCAAACCATTAGAGGCATTATTGAATTTAAAGGAAACCAAATCCCAGTGTCACGGACGGAGTGCACAGGACCCAGGATGTACTCACTGCCAATCTAGCTTTTTATTGGCATGTGGTCATATAACTAATATAGAAATCAAGCAGGTTCATACCCCTACAAACAGCTTGGACTTGGATTGCTGAAACTCGTAACAACAAAAACTTTTTTCGAGCGTAGTATGAGCGAACTTTTCCCTGGATTATGATAGCTGACCTGCCAAGGACCTCATTTCGGCGAGTGTCTAATTCTGCCATTTGACCAGCTCTAAGAAACACTTTTGTTTTACCAACCTGCAATTATGTAATACCAGATAGAATGACCGTCACAAGTAAAACTTTATAAACTTAAACAGAAGTCAGAATCATACCAACAGATGATACAAAATTGAACAATGTAATACAAACAAAAATCTGATGTAACAAGAAAGTAGGAAACCTAGATTACAGGTTTCCCACAAGATTCTCAACTAAATGCAGCAACTAAATGACCAAATACTCCAATTAAAAAGAAAAAAGGCACTGAACTTTCTGAGCAGAAGGAATAAGCACGATTTCGAGTTGTCCTAATTCTGGGGAAGGATCTCAAAGATCCTGAATGGGCTAAGAAACTGTTCTTAGACTAGGAGTCCGGGATTTTATTTGTTTCTAGATTAGAGAGATTCTATATTAGTTTAGGTAGGTAATTTATTTGTAATTTCTTGCCTAAAGGAAAGAAGAATAGGGAGATATTTTACTGATTGTTTCTTGATTTCTGGCTGAAGTATTCAGCACAAAAACATAATCTCTCTTTAATAGATAATTCTTAATGATTTTTCTACTTATGATTAACCACTACCAGAAGAACAACAACCAGTACCTGATAACCTTCAAGGCCAGATTTCTCTAAAAGTCTTCCGCAAGCATCAACCTCGTCAATTCTATCAAGGAGAAGACTAACATGAGAGAAGAAATGTGAAAGAAAGCATGGCGAGAAAATTTCTAAATGTTAACAGACCAAAGAAAGAAATGGATAGAAACCTTGAAAACTCTTTGAATTGTGCTAATTTCTAATACAAATAATACCTTCCATTTAAAACTTCAGGAGCAAGGACCTTAAACCGACTTAAGAATTCATCAAATGGTTTTCGAGTAGGAAAGCCAGCACAACTGATCCGAATAGCCTCCAGAACTCCCTAGAAAAGATTTAGTTGTGAAGCACCCAGTTTTGCAGAGACAGTATAATTTGTAATAGACAGAGTTGTTAAAGAGTACCCCACAACGAAGCTGCTGGAGTACATTTTGATTCTCAAAAATTTCTGGCTTCAAAAGATTATTTGGCTTCACGCAACGAACATAATGAGGCTCTGTGGCATTAAGTGTCTCAAGCAATGATTGCAATTGTTGCTACATCAGGTACAGGGTAAGATATTTCAGAGGCATGAAGCAATAATTTAAAAAGGTTGATCAAAGGCTAGAGGAAAACATACTTTAAATCGAGCACCAATAGAGGAGAACTTGGTATGTTTAGAAGAATCTTCAGGTAAAGGTGGAAACAAGCCAGAAACAAAGGGGCACTTTGAAGCAATAAGTGTTGCTTGGTGCTCTGGAACTACATAATCCTTGTTCTTATCCAAAAAGAACTCAGTTTGGTACGTGACCTGACATGAAAGAAGTCAAAACAACTTTGAGTGACACTTGCTTTTCTAGGTAATAATTGCATAACCCTCATTCTGTGATGTAAAAGATATCTTGAAGAACTAGTTTCCGTACTTACATCACCAGCGTAGTGGCAAACAGTAAAATCCGTCCGAGACAACTTTGGCTTGCTGAACCGCTTATGATCTTTAAAAGTCTGATATAGCTTCTCAGCGAAGGTCTCATGTGTTGATCTTGGGAACATACTGGCAGATGAGCCACATAAGTAGTAAACACCACAGCCAATGAGTTTTGTGATTAATTTTGACAATTATACCAAGAGAAAGAAAAATTAGAGTAAATTAAAGAATTGAAGTGCCTGCATACCAAGCCTCATCAAGAAGAGCAATAATCCCCCCAGGTTTCTGAAAGAAACAAAGTATTTAGAACATAAGCATGGCAAAATGGAACCAAAACATATCAATACATCAACAACAGCAACATATCCAATGAAATCCACTATGTGGGGTCTGGGGAGGGTACGCAGACCTTACCCCTACCTCGTGGAGGTAGAGAGGCTGTTTCCAAAAAACCCTCGGCTCAAGTGCAACCAAAACATATCAATACATCAACAACAGCAACATATCCAATGAAATCCACTATGTGGGGTCTGGGGGAGGGTACGCAGACCTTACCCCTACCTCGTGGAGGTAGAGAGGCTGTTTCCAAAAGACCCTCGGCTCAAGTGCAACCAAAACATATCAATAAAATTTAAAATCTATGACATCACAGAAAAATGATGATAAAAGCACACATATTGTTTTCCTTTTTTACCAGAATAACTGTGGAGGAAAGAAGTGCATCAAATAGTAATGTAACCACCATAAGACAATTTGACATGCATTGATGATTAAATATAATTGGTAGAAAGATCTACTTTGTATAGAACTCTTTATCTGTATACACTTGTATATGCTCTTGTCCCATTTTCTGCCAATAAATCTTGCTCTGTACATTTTTTCGAGAAAAGTCAAAGATGGTGATAAAATATTTCATGATCTACATCACCTTTTCTATAAGATCAAGAATATCTTGGTTATCAATGAACTCTATGTAACTCCAGTCAATTTCCTCCTTGGTATACTCTTCTTGCTCCATCTTGAAAACATGCTGGCAAAGGGAACAATAAAAGGTTTTAGTATTTATATTAACATTTCTCAGCTATGAGAGACTATCAAATGAATGACTACACAAACCTGGTTGAAATGTTGCTGCAGTTTTTCGTTGGTCAAATTAATGCAAAATTGCTCAAAACTGCATAGAAGAAATCAATAATCATAACCAAAGAAAGAGCACCAAAAAGCAAATTGAATAAACTACCACGAATACTTTTTAAGGCTACTCATCTAAATGTGAACTCAACACCTAAAGTGCTTTAAGAATCAGAATGTGTGTATAGGCAGCAATAAATATAGCAGGCACAATAAACCGTATCCAAGATAAATCCGGTAAAAGAGGCAGATGTTGATAGAGAAAAAAATTATGGTTAAGTTGGATCAGAGAGGAAAATGAACATTCAATTCCAAAAATCCAAAATGGCAGAACAGAACTTTCATCCAGCACTCTGCAAGAACTTAACCTCTGTGAATGATGAAAACAAAAGCATACCGGTTAAGCACCTGTTTGTCTTGAAACTCTCAAATCCATAGATATCTAGAACACCAATTGAGAGAATTGAATCGGGATCTTGGCCAATAGAGTTATTGATCTTGTTCACTATCCTGAACAATAATACAATATTTGTCTTGGGTCAAATATGTTTGGTACAACTAAACAAGCAATAAAACTTAATCACCCTGAATTCAACTAACCAATCAAACAATCTTGAGTAAACTATCTTGGCTAGAGCATCTCTACTCAGAGCTGCAGCTTCTGGATCAAGGGACTTTGTAATGGTCTCATCACGAGTGAACATGACGCGTTTGCACATGGAGTCCTCAAGGGACTTCTCATCACACCTAAACAAGATTTCACCAAAATGAAATTTACTTCTTCAAAAAAAAAAAAAGGAATGCAAGGGTATCTGGAGACTATAAATAGAAGAAACCACTTACATGAATAGTTCAGCTGCAATCTTTAGATGGAACCGAGACTTATCATCCTTAGGTTCCGAAGCATCAGTTTCTGTTCCCTTTGCAAATTCAATGTTTCCCAAGTGAAGAATTGCAGCCACTACTCTAAAAATAGCATCCTGCAGTTGAATATTAAAACTAGAGACTCTCATGAAGTAACCCATGTATCGAAGAATGCAGTGATGCTAATACCTGCTCGTCGTGACTTATCCCAACAACATCCATGGCTTTCCTTGTTGCCAGGTATTCCTCTGACTCATCCACTCCAGATAGTTCAAAAAAATTTGATTGGTTCAGATAATGAAATGTCCTTGGGTTCCCTACTTTATATTTTTCAACATCCTGCAAGAAAAGAGAAGGAAAGGAAACAAGTAGCTCCAACTTAGAGCAACATCGTATGATCCTAACTTGTTGAACTATGTGATAGCTCATCTAGATGCTTATATGGTTTAACTTTTAAGAGGAGTCACATTTATTTATTTAATAAGCTCTGACATATTGTTATGGAATATGTTCAGACAATAATATTCTATGGTCTTTAAAGTAGTAGTGGCATCAACAACTAGTCCTTAAATTGAAAAAGTAGACCATAGCAGCTAATGCTACGGCTTCTGCGGTCATACCACACTAGGTCTATTGTACACAACTTTACTTTGTATTATTGCAAGAGGATGCATCCACATTGCTTACTTTGTAATTCTTCAAAAATAACAAAAATAAGAAGTAAATAAATAAATGAAAAAACACAAAACTTCTCTTTTCTTTGTTAACATATTAACGGTGCTTAATTAGAAAATAGAAAAATTGCATCCAGAGGAGCAAGCAATAAGAATGATGTAAATCCTAATACAGGTAAAGTGATCCCCAAATACTAGAAGAAAGCATTTGCAAACATAAAGGCACAGTGAAATTACCTGAGGTGGCGCAGCACAAAGCAAATAGAAACAGTGATAATTTCTCTCAGGATCAGAAACTTGACAAACACGGGATCGTTCCAGCAGATATGTTTTGATGGCAGCACCAGATATCCTCCCCCTTTTATCAAACTGGAGCTCCACAAACTTACCGAAACGACTGCCAAAATACATGTTGGCGAAGCAAAATTCATAAGTTAAACAGAATGTACAATATGATAGGAATAAGCATCTAAGTTTCTGGTCTCCTCACCTTGAGTTGTTGTTTCTGACTGTCTTAGCATTACCGAAGGCTTCTAAAACTGGATTTGACTGAATCAAGCAAAAGTTAAAAATGTACATATATCCAGAAATGTTTTGAGGTATAGCTGATTGATTGATTGATCCATATTTATTTTGAACAGATTTTATAAAGTCAATCTTGACAAGAAAGAGGCTATCTCAAGATTCCAACAGCAAAATTAATTGAAACAAAGTCGAGCAGAGAAAATTTACCAAAAGTTAACCATACCTCAAGGACTTGCTGCTCCACGCTCCTTCCCTCAGCTGCAGCTCGTCCTCCCATATACGCAAGATATTGCATAAGCATTTTTGTGCTTTCTGTCTTGCCCGCTCCACTCTCTCCACTTACCAAAATTGACTGGCTTATCCCCTCATGAATCATCTGCCTGCATTCAGAAGCACAATGTTAAAGATTATATAGTAAGTTAATATTTTGAAAGCCACTCGAAAAACATGAATCTTGCCTGTAAGCAGAATCAGCAACAGCAAAAGGATGAGGGGGCAGCTCCCCAAGTGCAACTCCTTTGTACTGTTCCATCACACTTTTAGCATATAAATGGGGTAACCGCTTGAAGGGATTCACGGCAATCAAGATACTCCCAGTGTAAGTCTGAATGCATCCAATCATATCTTAGCTTTCTCGACCAGTTTATTCAAGATATTACAAAGAAAAAAACTTAAGGGATTGTTTGGTTGAAAGGATTAGCAAAAATTATCCCAAAAAAAAAAATCTTGCATAAAATAATACAGTGTTTGGCCGGAGGAATTAGAAAATAATCTATGCATAATTAATCAGCATTTGATTGTTATATTATCCCCAACATAACTAGCGTAACATTTTCTTGACAGTATTAAATAATATCTGCACTGAGTTTATATGGAACTTATGTATTATTTTATGTTAGATAGAAAGAGAAATAAGAACACGTAATTAGCAACATGTCCATAAAAGTACTTGAAACAAAAATTCCTTAAAGTAAGTAGTCCCTAGATAATATGTCATGTATTATAATTCACCGCATGCACCTGCAACATTATTACTCATCACATAAAATTCCTTCATTATTATTCCATGTATAAACAATCTCTGCATTATAATCCTCACATAACTAGTATGTGAACCAAACAGCCCTTCTAATGTGGAACAAGAATGTTTATTAACATACAGAGAAAAATTATATTAAGACAAAAGTTCCCTTTAAGTAAACAGTCCCTATATAACACTCTCTGCATTATTTTCTGGCACCAACCCTTTATTATTATTCACTGCTTAAACAGTCGCTACTTTATAGTTCCCCGCATAACTAGCATGAACCAAAAAACCTTAATGCCAGAAAATTATCAAGATAAAAAAAGAAATACAGTTGATTAGAAAAATGCATAAGAATCGTCCTTAAAGTTCTTACATATATTTCATTCATGTCATATCGACTTCGCAAATTCTGCAATACTCCTGGTTCATGCAGATAAGAAAGTTTTGTCATATCATCCACGCCACAAGAAGGCGCGTCAGTATCTCTTGCGTACACATTGGATAGATTGGCCGTAACCTACAAAGGAAATTCAGGGAGATTTTTCGAACACATTCAGATACCAGAAAAAATGAAAGATGTAATCCAGAGTTCCGTAGAAAGCATGCTGCAAACACTAAAAATGGACACCATTTTTAACTCATAAAGGCTTTTCCAAAAAGCTCTATACAAACAACATAGTGAACAGACCTTCACTCAGTATAACCATATCTAATCTTGTTAATAATATTGCCTGTTGCGGCAAGAATTTTTCTTCTGAGATAAAAAAATTGACTACAATAGTAGTTTTTGTAGCGGGAAACAAGAAAAAAGAATCACATTATCATTTAACTATTCTCCATGGACACCAACCATGTTGATTAAACACAATACAGATAAAACAGAATATTAAAGCTTAAAAGCCAATGAAAAAGGAACTCTGAATGATAAATAATAGTAAGCCAATTAAGGCGTATACTAGTGTAAGACTTACCGTCTTCTCTGAGTTGCAGTCCACTGTGATCTCTTCCCCATTGATTTCAACAACGACCCCATCTAGCCAAGCTACCTCTGGATCCTCAACCCATACATGAGATCCAACCACAACACTGGCAGAAACACTCTGTACAACATTTAGAATTGTGGAAGTCTCAGTCACAGCATCAAAATCATTTGTGCCTTATAAAGAACGATGCACGTTGAAAGTATGATGTATATACTAGAGAGGAGATTTCATAAGCAAAAAGAACAAAAGAACATGACATAGAATCAGAAAAGAAAAGAAGATAAGAGACATCAAATATACTACACATGGAATCTAAATTTGTCTACATATTTTACTCTTGAATAAGCCAATTTGACTCCCAGTAACATATGCTGATGATTTAAAAGCTGAAAGATGAAGCGTCTACTAAGGTCAGTCTAATGGAATCTTGTTTACAAAGTTTATTTATTAGGCCTGGAGAAAAAAATACTTTGCAGAGAGTAAAGCCAAAACACATACATGTACTTCTATTTTGTTTCAAAATAGAAACTTCAGGGATAGCTGCTTTAATCTTTCAAAAAGCTCTAACTTGGAGGTGCATATGCAGCACTCGACAGTTGAAAGTGAAAAAAGTCTTCCCTGAGTGATGAAAGTTTGGTTGCTTATGCACTCATTAGTCAATAAGCAATATGGACAAGGCCAAGTTAAAATACATGTACACCTTCATGGGGACAGCTATAAAACTACCACTCTCTTATAATAAATCTTAACCTGCTGAAAAATATGTTCTATTTCCCTCCCATGAAAATGTATGAAACTAGATAATAGCAACAAACTAAATGGCTATTGTATCCAAACGAATAAGCCAAAGTTGTTCAAGTGCCTAACATGTGGAAATTCTTCTTGATACTTAGTGGAGACGAGTATTGAACCATGTCGAATTATGTACTCATCTCGTCTAAAAGCTTAAGCTGTTAGCCGAGACGGACCTAGGTAAGGCCAAGGGTTCATCCAAAACCTCTTCGGCGAAAAATTACATTGTTTATACATGGTTAAAATTATATTTTATGTATATATAGTAGATGTTGAACCTCTTTGGTTTCTTCTTGTGTTCACTTTTCATAATTTGAACCCCTTAATAAGAAAAATCCTACCTTCGCCACCAGTTGTTAGAACACATATATGCACTTAATTATACCTCACCATTATGCTATCAAGAAGCAATAATAACCCTTCACAAGAACAACACATAGTTTAGCTAAAACAAAATTTACCACCTTTCTATACTCCTTCAAGAGAAAACAATATATACTCATACAATCCACAACTGTCAACTATTTCAAGAAAAGCTCAAAACTTTCATAGTTTAGCTAAAACAAAATTTACCACCTTTCTATACTCCTTCAAGAGAAAACAATACTCATACAATCCAACCACAACTGTCAACTATTTCAAGAAAAGCTCAAAACTTTAAGCAAAACCCAACATGCAAACTAAAGAAATTCTTCAAAGAATTCAAGAATGCCATACCATTTCTCAAGAAACACAATGGAGACCTATCAAGACTCCAACTTTTCCCTTCAAATTCACAACCCCACAAAAACCATTGATATATTATCCTTTAAAACACCCATAATGCACCTCATTATGTAATAAATACCCCAAAATGCCTTTAAAGGTGTGACCTTTGGCCTTCTCTTCAACAAAAATCCAAGAAGATGTAATAAAAAGGACAAGAAATTGAAAGGGTAAGGGTTTAGAAATGAAAAATGGGAAAGAAAAATGAGTAAGGGGTATGAAATCAATCAGTCAATATTTTGTTTTCTTTTCTTCTCACAAAAATATGAATGAAAAGGAAAAGAAAACAACCCCTTTTGTAAATCTTCCCTTTTCCTTTTCCTATGAAAAATGGTTGTTTTTCTCTCTTTTCACAATGCCAATGATTGTGCTGTATTAATGTTTTGTTCAGGAATTTTGTTTTGAGGTTTCTAAGGTTGGTTACTTCTGTTCACGTCAAAATGCAGGGAGAATCCACAACACGAATGTGTCTAAGGAGAGAGAGATCAATTTTTTTTCAAAATTCCCATAATGCCCTTTTGTCTTTGTTGTATTTGCATATTGTTCAATCCCATATATATTTATTTGTTACGGAAATTTTACATAAATCTCATAGTATTAAGAGCTGATTATATTTTATCTCTATTCTTTTCCAAATTACAAAAGTACTTTTAAATTGGAAAAAAGGACAAATATACCTCCTAACTGACGTAAATGATATGCAGATATCCTCTGTCATACTTTTGGGACATTGGTGCCCCTGTCGTAAAAAAAACTGAGTCATATATACCCTTCACTCTAACGGAAGACTAAATAGGGACACGTGACTCAATCTTATTCGTCGATTCGATATTTAATAAATGTCGGGTCGGTGGATAAGATTATGACATGCATATGTCCGTTAGTATAAATGGTATATATGCTCTAGTTTTTTTACGGCAGGGGCGCCAATGTCCAAAAAGTATGACGGAGGGTATCTGCATACCATTTATGATAGTTCAGGGGTATATTTGTCCTTTTTCCCTTTTAAATTTGATGGAATCCGGATGCATCCCAATATATCACGTCTCGATTTCGGATACATTCCTCAACGTCCTGATACATCGTGTCTCGATTTTGGATACATCACACAATGTCTCGATACATCGCTTAAAGTGATGCATCCGAGAATATGAATTTTTGTAATTTTTTTCAAATGATAAAGGAATTAGTTGTGTATTTTGGTAGTTTTTCCATAAATGATTATAATTTATTTGAATAGTTGTTACATATTGTTTGATAAGATATATTGTGTTGTATCATACTATATTTTAGTAAGTACAACATTTGAATAGATTGTATCATTCTACGTCGTTACATAATGTCACATGTTTACAATTTAAATGATAAATCTACGAGAGAAGTTGGATACGAAATAGAGCAACTATAAAAAGGTAAAGTAAAGGATAAAATATGATTATTAAATTATAGGGATAAGGGTCTGAAAAATACCCCAACTTTGGTCGGATTTGCTGTTGCGATACTAAACTTTTATGAGGACCTATTACCTCCCTAGACTATTTAATACCGTATTTTTTTACTCCCCTGAACTATTTAATAGTGTATTTTAAAAGGTATATACATGCCCACGTGGACACATTACTATTTATAATTTTTGCATTGTTTTTATGTCCACGTGGGCAAATATATATGTTTAAAACACGGTATTAATAGTCTAGGGAGGTAATAGGTCCTTATGAAAGTTTAGTATCGCAACAGCAAATCCAACCAAAATTGGGGTATTTTTCAAATCCTTATCCCTAAATAATAAGTAATGAAAAAATATTAAAGTGACGATGCAATCAAACGAACAATTATTATATAAAAATAGGACTTTCTCGTACTATCTAATGATGGATTTAAACGATATTATGCAATAATATATATGTAACAACAAATAAAAATACAATACAATGGGTAACAATTATCCGAACAAGGTGTTAGTAATAAATGTGATTTCATATTAACAAAATTAAAGAATCAATTCTAATACTATAAATGACAATAATATTGGATATTTATTAAATAAGTTTGCATTGGTTTAGGCGGTGAAATACATAATTTTTTATTTTTTTAAATATTTAGTCATGTCTTGGGCCTTTCTTTAGTTCTAGTTAAATATAGCTAATTATATTAGATCTAATTAAGGTGTTTCTTAAGAAAATAACATCAAATCTGTGATGAGTGATTACATTGCTTAAATATTCAACAAAAAACATAATAAAATCATATAAACATATGTGGCTAATTAACAAATCATAATGAAATGATTATGAAGTGAAAGTACTAATATAAGAGCTTATTTGGATCGACTTCTTTTAAGTGTTTTTAAATTATAATAGCTTTTAAGCATTTTTTGGGTGTTTGTTTAAATTTTAAAAATGTTTATATACACTTGGTTTTAAGCTAAAATTATAAAATAAACCAAAAATCAATCCAGACATGATCTTAAAGTCATGTTAAAATAAGTATAATTGATAAGTACTCCCTCCGTTTCACAAAGAATGACCTCCTTTCCTTTTTAGTCAGTTTAAAAAAGAATGACCTCTTTCCTTTTTTGGTAACATTTTACTTTTTGCTTTCCACGTGACATGTTTAAGACCACAAGATTAAGGACAATTTTGTACATTTGACATAACTTTAATTTAGGACCACAAGATTCAAAAGTCTTCTTTATTTACTTAAACTCCGTGCCAAGTCAAACCAGGTCATTCTTTGTGAAACGGAGGGAGTACTTATCAATTATACTTATTTTAACATGACTTTAAGATCATGTCTGGATTGATTTTTGGTTTATTTTATAATTTTAGCTTAAAACCAAGTGTATATAAACATTTTTAAAATTTAAACAAACACCCAAAAAATGCTTAAAAGCTATTATAATTTAAAAACACTTAAAAGAAGTCGATCCAAATAAGCTCTTATATTAGTACTTTCACTTCATAATCATTTCATTATGATTTGTTAATTAGCCACATATGTTTATATGATTTTATTATGTTTTTTGTTGAATATTTAAGCAATGTAATCACTCATCACAGATTTGATGTTATTTTCTTAAGAAACACCTTAATTAGATCTAATATAATTAGCTATATTTAACTAGAACTAAAGAAAGGCCCAAGAGACAAAAGAAATCCTTCGATCAAATGAAAGTCTCTAGTGCTAGTATAGATATTCTATTCGTTAATAAGTATCGGAATAGATTTCCATTTAGTGTTCAACTGAAGGGTTTCAAACACTTGAAAGGCGAGGTAGATTTAATGCTACGCCTTTTTTATGTCGTTTATATGAAGAACTTATAGGGGGAATCTGAAACCCACCCCACTCCCAAAAAAAAGATCGTAAAATCGAGATTAAAAAATTATTTTTTAGTAATTTTACTGATTTATAAATTTAAGAATTTATCACAATTAATTTGATTTGATATTTTAAAAATACGAACCACTTAGCTGATATACACCCTACTATACTACAGATATTTTGATATGTGCAGGGCTGCACGCAATGTATTAAAAACAAAAAAGAACTTATGAAATTAAAAGAAACAAATCATGTAATTAGTGAACAACATTTCAATGGTATAAAAATATCATAAACCATCTAATTTGAAATAAACAACTAATACCATTATTTTGGAATAAATAATCAAATATAATAGTTAAATACAAAATATACTTAATAATATCTAAAATTATATATTATTGCTCCATTCTTGGGCTTCTTAACTTAGTGATGGTAAACTTAAAATATTTTATTTTTTTTCAAAATATTTAATTATAATAGTTATTGTATGCATAGTTTATTTTGCTTCTTGTATTTATGACACTTTAGCTCATCCAATTCGCACAAAGAGAATGTTAATATAGTACCTCCTCTTTACCCTAAATAATATAAGTATCACATCAAAACTTAAAATTTGATAGTCAAACTTAACAATTTTATATCTGATTTTTATTTTGAGTATTTTAAGTTCAATCTAGGCTTTAGTGGTTTCAAATGCAACGTTACAGCCCTTATAATTTAATTTTGTGACGGTAAGTCTTTAATTTCTTCGGCTAGTGTTAATTTTGTGACATCCAATACTAATTTGGTAAATACCTCCTCTTCAATCTTTTAGCAAAGATAAATATAATACTACCTTGTGCTCGGATTGATTTTTAATTTATGAGCAAGGATAGATGTAATAGCATTAATATGCTCAAATTAGTTCCTTTAATTTAAGAACTTTTAAAACTTATATTACGATTCAGATCAGAAACTCAAGATGAAGTCAAATTAAAATCGTAGATCGATTTGTTTTAGTAAAAAATGTTTCAATTAATTATGTGTATTTTTTTGAAAAGTTTCCTAATTCTATGGTGCTCTTCTTTTCAATGGCAATTCAAGAAAATGTAGAAAATGTGATGTACAAAGACAAAATTGAAGTAAAAGGGTTAAGAAATAAGAATGAAAAAGAAAAACTTTAGTAAAGGATATATATAAATTACATGAAATCAATTACTTTCTTTGGATGATGAATGGAAAAAAAAGAAGATGATAAGGTATATACTCAGCAAAATAAACCTTACTAATAAGTAATTTTTTTTAATCAATAGTTTTAAGTTTAAATTTTCGGAATTATTTTTTGTTAGGATCATTTCGACTTTAAAATGGGACTTTATAGTGCGAATTCAAATTATCGTGACCTAAAACAAATAACAAATACAAAATTGCATTTCATTTCTCTGCTTACTTTTTTTTTCACTAATTTTATTCTTGTCTTCCTTTTTCTTCGCTGCTTGCCGTCATTCAAGTTTTTGTTCTTATTCGTTGCTTTCAACCATTAAAGTTTCTTCAAAACTCATTTTTACATTTTACATGTCGTAAACGTGAACCGTTTCGGGTGAATAATATGCCAAAACACTCGAAATTTGAGAGGAGCTCATATCTAAAATTTGGGACGGTTTAGAGGAGATTTAAGTTTATCCAAATTAAATAACTCCATGTTAAGCCATTAAAACTTCTTCAAAGCTCAATTTTAAAATTTGATGTGCCACAATGTGAATTGTCTCGAGTGAATAATATATTAAAAGACTCGAAGCATCGAGAGCAGTTCATATCTGATATTCGAAATTGTTTAGAGGAGATGTAAGTTGATCGAAACTGAAAAATAATACATATTTGTAAATATTGTATAAATAACCTATATAAATATATCATGTATATACATCTCCAATACATAATTATACATCATATATATACACAATTATATCTGTCATTTGGTCACAAAAGTAAGGGTATTTTTGTATCAAAGCCCATAATTCCATAACGCTTTCCCGCCAAAACGGGTGACAGTTGAACTCCTCTTCGTTAAAAGGGTATAGAGTGGGCCCTATCTTCCAAGATCTAACGGTTGACAATTGCCCTCATTTAAGTGGGGCCCATCCAAGTTGATTAATACTCCCTCCATCCCTATTTAGTTGTCCACTTTAAAAATGACACATATTAAGGCAACAATGATTAGGATAGTGAAATTACAATTTTGCCCTTATTAATTATGATTCCAAAATAAATTTATTCAAGATAACTAATCAATATTGGGGGAAGTTTAAATTTTCAAGAAGTTTAAATGAGGGTATAATAGGAAATTTTTTTTTGTCCTTTCTTGATTTGTCAAAATGGACAAGTAAATAGGGACGGAGGGAGTATAAAGAAAGATTTTTGTTTTCCAAAAATAGTCACCAATAACTATTCTAGACTTTCATATATGAAATTTTAAATTGTAGGATAATGATTAATTTTTTTTAACATAAAGTCGAAAAAGTCTGAAAAGGATAAAGTGTTCGGAGATACTTTTAGCCACCGGAGGACCGACTCAATGAGCACCTTTGGGCGGTGCTTTTTCGAACACCTTACCCCTAACCTCACAAGGGGTAGGAGGGTTGTTTCTGATAAACCTCGACTCAAGTAGAGATGAAAAGGAAGCAATAACAAAACACTAGTTGAGTTCAAACCAATAAAAAGAATGAAGGACCTAGTAAATTGAACCGTACAAAATTGTAATGTTGATAATCTTTCCTAAAATTTATCTAAATTAAACTCTCCTCTAAGCAGTCACTGTTTGTTTTTGAGCATAAGTTATCCCTTTCTCAATGCTAGCTTTCAACTCTGGCTTTAGAGCTTCCAATGCCTTTTGTTCATACTCAGTTAATCCACGGAGATCAGATGAAATCAAAGCCTCGACGCCATTCCTTCCTAGTTTAACTCTTGATGCAAAGAATGGAAGTTCCGTCAAGTCAGATTGCACGTAAGAACACTCGTAAACATCAGCATCACCATCAAGGGCACGAAGTGAGGATTCGATAAATCTAGCTGCTGCATATGCCATTGACAGTGTTGCAGATCCTGCTCCAGCCTTTGCCTCAACGACCTCGGTCCCAGCATTTTGGATCCTCACGGTTAGTTCCTGCACTTCTTCTGCGGTGAAAGTAGTTGATGGTCTTGTCTTTGACAGCAAAGGCAGAATTGTTATCCCTGCGTGCCCACCAATCACGGGGACGTCAACGTCTATGAGTTTCAGGTTTTTCTTCTGCGCGACGAACGTGTTTGCCCTGACAACGTCCAGGGTGGTAACACCAAAGAGTTTTTTAGGATCATAAACACCCTTTTGCTTCAGAACCTCGGCAGCAATCGGCACTGTGGAGTTGACTGGATTGCTGATAATGTGGATAAAGGCATCTGGGCAGTTGTCAGCAACAGCCTCAACCAAGCCTTTCACAATATTAGCATTAATGTTGAACAAGTCGTCTCGTGTCATACCAGGCTTTCTCGGAACGCCAGCTGGTATGACAACTACGTCTACACCTTTCAAAGAATTGGCCAACTCAGAAGCTCCCGTAAAGTCAAAAACCTGAGCGGGAGTGTTGCAATGGCTGAGATCTGCTGCGACTCCTTTGACATTTGCAATATCATAAAGGTGCAACGATGATACTAGCGGCGACATCTTAATCAGAAGAGCTAGAGACTGGCCTATACCGCCAGAGGCTCCAAGAACAGCCACTTTATAAGATGCTTGGGGCTGAACATGGTTCCAAGATCTCTGCTTTTCGTTTCGGGCTTTAGGAGTAATGGATTGTCGAAGAGCTGCAACACTTTCATTTCCTAGAAATGACGACTCGGATTCACATCGTACAAATGCCTCTGCCTTAAGGCCACTGAAATTCCTAAGGTAGTTCCTGGTATTGTATTTCACAATGAAGGCTTTTGATTGTAATTTTGGGCTCGCTATGGAGCCAAAGGATGTAGCGGAACCAACTGAGAGAGTAGTTGCTGATGCTGCTGCCATTTCACCCACTGCAAAAAGGATCGTTGACATTAATTCTTCTATGCATTGTAAGACGGGATTTTAGAACATACATAGGAGAAAATTCACTGATAATCGATGAATATTAATTGCAAACCACAATGAATAGATGGACAACTGATTACTTGGTGTCACACAACCTGGAAATAAACTCTCCCTCTGACCAATAAAATTGATCTTCTAACCATCTCAGTTCCTCGAAGAGAACTCGACCTCCTTCCTTAAATGAAATATTTCTCCCTTCAACAGTTAAAATTAATATACACTAATAATTCTGCTTTATATTTAATTTTGATATCTTACCAACTACTTATTCTACTTTTTACATTTCAAAACATGTTCTAAACACATTTCTACCAAACACAGTATAATGATCTACTTAAGCATTTTCTCTTATTGTTCCAATTTCATCGGATGTCCCCAAAGGGACACTTCAACACTTTACTCTTAGAAACCAGCAAAGGCTATTTTCGGTTGTTAATAAGATTTGTCGAAGAAATTAAAAGAAAAGGGTGGTCATTGCTTCACGAGCCCCCCTAAACCAGGGAAAAAGAAAGAAAAAAATTTCCAACTAGTGTAAAATCATCGAAAAGGAGTTTGAGCCTAACAAAGAAAAATAGTCAAATAAGATGTTTAACAAACAATGCATCCAAGGTCATACATTTATTATCCAAATCAAGTTATAGAAGACACTTTTTGAAATGTTTACGTTCGCAAACAACTGTATTAAATCTTCTCATATGAACGGAACACCAGTAGAACATATAAGCCAACTATTCAGCTCAGCACAAAAGACAGGAAAAATACAGCATCAGCAATTTTGAAAGATTGATGACAGATTCCATAAGTGTAACTATATCATTCATATTAGACATAATACATAAACGTTTCCCTTTAACTTGGCATCAACTAATATCTATGCCTTCCAACTTTGGGGTATGTACTGTATACACTTAACTGTATAAAGTTGAACAAGTAGACACACGCGTCCTAACAATTCGCGTGAGATACCCTCGAAGTGTAATTGAACAGCTTTGCAGAAATCCTAAAAGGACTAACAGCTGAGAGAGAATTCTCCCAAAGTTAAGGCTGCTGGGAATGGGATATCCTCTTTCTTTGTTAATATCGTGATGTCTGGACCAACTTGCACGCAGCCCGACTAATTCCTCAGGTACTTGCTACCTCCCACTACCATCGGTACCAGGTAACCCTATCCACCAAACAAAGCTTGGACACATTGCCTTAAATAAATTAACTTTCTTTGTGGTGTTTGGGTCAACTTGCACGCACCTCGATTAATTCCACAAATACCTACTACCTCCCACCAACATAGATACCAGGTAACCCTATCCACCAAACAAAGCTTGAACACATTGCCTTAAATAAATTAACTTTCTTTGTGGTGTCTGGACCAGTTTGCACGCATCTCGATTAATTCAACGGGTACTTACTACCTCCCACCAACATAGGTATCACCAACATAGGTATCAGGTAACCCTATCTACCAAACAAGCTTGAACACATTGCCTTAAAGAAATGAACATTCTTTGTGGTGTCTGGACCAGCTTGCACGCCACAACTACTTACTACCTCCCACCAGCATAGTACTTTTATTATTTCTGTCTTTCTTGTTATCTAAAGAACTCACAAATCAAGCTAACCCCTTAAATAAATTAACTTTCTTTGTGGTAAATACAGCCTTTAATTGAATAATCAAATGAAAAGATTCAAACTTTATTCTTCTTTTCATTTTTCAAGAACCCCCCCTTTAGCCTAACACAGACAAAGAACATCAAATATAGCAAAATTCTACATAAAATTGACAAATTACACCAAAATGGCACAAGAAAATAATCAAGAAATCAATAAAAAATTCAAGAAAATATCATATATAATCACAATACAATATTACCTCAAATTCTCAGAAATTTTACTGATTTTTTCTTCACTTCTACCTATAAGATTATAAAATTCGGAGGTTCCGAGGCAGATAACTAAGAATGTTCCTGAAGATATGGGGAAGGAGTTTTACCAAAACAAAGATATTTGAAGGAGGGTAAAATAGTCTTTTTAACTTGGTGGGAAAAAAATGAAACCATAATGATTTTTTTTAAAAAAATAATACAATAAAATATGACGAAGTATTTACATCATATCAATAAATATATACATAATATGACATGTAGTAAATAATTATTGGTTAATTGTAATTAATGACTTAATATATAGTTAGTCTTTTCATTCAGACATCAATTTAAGTTTTGTTTTAGTTGAACACTTCTATTTCTTAATAAAACGTTGTGATAGAACATTTTCAGTTAAATTTTGGATTTTATCTTTGTGTGTGTTCGTTCTTATTTATCTATTAATAGTTAAGTTAACCATGTAATTATATCGTGTTATTTAATTATATTGCATTCGCCTTGATAAGTCGTAAAAGTTCGAGCATTTTTTACTTGAGGTTGATGTGTATGACTAAAGAGATGAAATCTTTTATATGATTAACTTAAATTACTAGTAGATAAATAAAAATACATGTAAATAGAATTCTAAAATTTAAATTAAAAGTGTGTAATTGAAATTTTTATACTTTATATACTTATAATAAAAGGGGGAAACGATTAACCAATTGTAAAGCATATCTAACATGGCATATTAAATAAACAATTTAGATTGTTGTTAATTAAAAAAAACACAAAAGTTGATGAATTTCCCATACTAGAAAGGGAAAAAAAGACAAAAAAATTCATAAATAACAATATTAGTAATCGTTTTTATGTAAAAAAGAAAAAAAAAGAATATTCTAACAAAGTCAAAGAAATGGATGTCAATTTTTATTTTTATTTTTTTGGAGCCACGTTTCAAGTAAGTTGGAATTTTCTTTGTAAAAAGAATATAGATGCAAATAATATACTAGAATAACTTTTTTTTATGTATAACGTAAATTACGCTAACATTATATACCATGTAATTTCTTTATCTTGATAAAGGACCCCTATATTGGATCTTAGCCACAAACCTTAATGACTTAATATTTATAAAATTGTTATCTCAAAGTGAAGTCAATATATATATATATATATGGACTTTTGGCTGTCATGCTTCGTAATATTTCTCACATAGACTTTGGTTTATCTTTTTCACATTTCAACTAAACTAAACGAGTATTTTCTTCTTCTTTTTTCTCATTTAAACAACTAGAACAAGATTTGGTGACTTGATTAATGGAATCATAGGTTATACCATTACTAGTTACTTGAGGCTAGATACTATGCTTTATTTGTCGCTTTCTTCAGCGGTGATTGCCATTTTTTGCGTGGACTGTAGGGATAGTTATCTTTCATGCTATATTTCAAGTTGCTGTTTTAGAGCTGTGGGTCAGCGTATGTGTAACATCTCGCAACTAGAAAGAACTAGAAGGAAGTTTAAAATCTGGAAATAGTTACTTTTGGAAAGAATGAGGAAATTTGGAAATTTTTAAGTAAGTTAAAGTGAGTTTTTGGTCAACTTCAAACGGCTATAATTCCTAGCTCAGGATGAGTTATGTGTGATTCCAGATATGATTGGAAAGCCCTTGGAATGATCTTTCCAACGCCGCCAAGTTTACGCGATTCTGAGTTCATATGAGTGAGTTATTCCCTTTGGAAGTTGGGCTGTTGGATTAAGGAAATGTCCAATCCGGAATTTTTAAGGGGTATTTTTAGTCTTTTCATTGCCCTATTATTTTAATCCGTTTTTTAGGAGTTTAATATGGGTCAAATCAGATTTTAGTCAGTTTTAGAATTTGGAATTTCACGCTAGGGCTAAGGAGAAAGGGGAAGAGAATAGAAGAAGGAGAAAAGGGCAAATTCATCAAGATCGATCAAGAAAGTTGGTGTTTCGCCAATGGTTTACTTCTACCTGGTATGTGAGGCTCTCATAACGTTGGGATCGTTCTTCCACGTGCCAAGCATATTTATTTCAGTTTGGATTCGTCTGAAAAGCATTTGAATAATTGATGATCTTGATATCTATTCTTGAATTCAAATATTGTTCTTGAATTTGACTGAGTTAGGAAGTTTCTAAGTTTGTTACGTCACATCATAGGGTCGTTTTGAGTTAGGTTCTTAGGTACAATTTTTGGGTATCTGTATCTAAAAGAAATTTGAGAAAAAGAACCGAGTTTGGGTGAATTGGGATTGGAAAACGAAGAAGAAATTTCGTCAGACAAAATTAGAGGGTGGCCACGCGCCTAGTGCCCAGTTTTGAAAAATTCTGCTCTGCGTCGTGGAGCTGACACGAGGTGTTCTGCCTCAAAAGACGTTTCCGGAACCAAAATTTAATTATGCCTCCGCGTCGCGGACTTACCTTCAAATCTTTATTTTTGGTCTGTTCTCATGTTTAGCTATCTAAAATCATTCCTAAACAACATGAGATCCTTCCAAACCCAAATTTTAATCCTTGAATCCATAATTCAATTCAAGGATCAGTTAAGAGTCAAGTCAAGATCAGTTAATAGTCAAGTTAAGATAAGTTCTTGAAGTTTTCCAAGAGTCTTTCGCAAATGTTTTAACTTTGTTTTAAGTTTTGAGTTCAGTAAAGAGTAGAGTTGAAGTTCTTTTCTTCAAAGAAGTATATGGGGACTATGTATTTCCAAAGAGATTAAAAAAATGTTTTTACATTTAAATAAGAACGGAAACTGAGATTTCCAAAGAGCCTTCGGGATAGTTTTCAGAAAAGAGTTATAGCTTTCTAAATGAAGCAAGAAGGGAAACTGAGATTTCCAAGATAGCCTTTGAGCTAAGTTTTTGAGCACTAGCTAGTATATTTTGGGAGTAGTATTGAGCACCGAATTGGGGGCGAGCCTGAGTTCAGATAACTCACGTCTCCATAAAATCATGTAGCCATCATGGGTAGAAAAGGGTCATACTTTTTAGATGAACCCTTTTCATAATAGACTAGTATATCCACTTAGTAGTTTAGGTCTTATACCTTTGGCCAGGTATAGGATGCGCTGGCAGCGTGAGGTAGATCGCTGTATCATCACTATAG